GGCAATCTGTTCTGTAAAGATTACAGCCTAGGAAACCCTATGGGGCAGTTCTACTCTATCCTATAGGTCGCTATGAGTTGGAATCAACTTGATGACACCTAACAACAACAGCCTCCAGAACTGTGAGACAATAAATTTCTATCGTTTAAGGCCACCCACTTTGTGGTACTTGTTACAGCAGCTTTAGGAGACTAAGACACCCTCACAGCTTCACCCTCACACCACTAAAAGGAGAGCCGCTACCCCTCAGCTCCTCCTGGCACTGCCCCCACCCTTACTGTCACTATTTCAGAAGTCTGTAGAACGCAGGTAGATTATTTTTTTTTAAAGGGGGCCTCCAGGCACTCCCCACAGTTGTAAAACAAGGAGAAATACTACAGCTGTGCTTGTGGGGCAGCTCACACAGCCAGCTGTGGGGAATGCTACCTGAGCCAGAAACTGAGACCCAAACCCAGGGTCACCAGAGGAGGCTGCACCCGGGGCAGACGAAGTGGCAAGCTGGGCTGTTCCCCTCAGCCCTTTGGGAAAGCTCAGTGTTGCAATGAGGCCACTGGCAAGGGAGCTCAGACCCAAAGGGGAAACTCCCAGTCCCCTAAGCCTCCTGCGAGATGAAGGTCTCCCTGACATTTTTTGGTATGGTGACCAGCGCACAGGTAATCTAGCCACACCTGTGCAGGTACTTGTCCACTCATATGGCCTGGGATTTGGGAAATGTGGCTACTGTCTCCATGGCTTCCCTGGCACCCAGTGAATACTGTGAATCTTAGCTTCTTGGGGCAGAGGGCTGCCCTGTCTGCAGCCCCAACATCTTGCAAGAATCAACTGCTTCCGGGCTGATCTTTGGCTGGACAAAGGCCCTACCAATCACCTTATATGTGGGGAGAGAAGGCAAGAAGGAATATGCATCCCTGCCAGTGCAAAAAGGCATTGGCTGGGACCTCCTCCTCAAGGTGTTCAGAAGGGGCTTGGGTGAGGGGCTGGAAAGCTGCAGGAAGTGTTAAACCCTGGGAAAGAGCGAGTCTGGCTGCAGGACCAGCCACATTACGGTGCTGACACCAGCTATCCCTGAAACCTCTGCTCCTTTTCTCCTTCTCTCTGAGCCACCCAGGTCTTCGCCAACACACCTGTCTCCACTGCTCATGGACAAGGGGAGGGCAGAGTCATAACCCTTACATTCTGGACACTGCTTCCGGATCCTTTTACCTCTGCTAGTTGATGTTTTTGACAAATCTCCTTTCTTTTTCGTTGCCCTTAAGCTCAAGGGCATCTTTCCACCCCAGGAAAGCACAGGGCTGCTTGGGCAGTAGGGGAAGGACCATCGCCCTGAGCCAGATCCTGAGCGGAAGCGGTTTTACAGTACCCAGCTGGCCACAGCCAATTCCATCCTGCCCATTCATTATTTATGCAGCACGGAGTGGAGCCTTTCCAGGCCCCCTTCCCTTAGCCGCTCCAGACAGGGTATCGATCGCCCTAATGCCTAGGCTCTGAAGTGGCAGGTCGAGCTGCCCCCTCCCCAAGCCTTCCTGTGGCCACTAATTAGCTGAGGTTTAGAGACTCCACTTCACAAATGGGGAAGTGGGGCCCAGGAGGCCCTGCTGGGAAGCAAGAGGGGGTTGAGCTTAGCATCATGTGGCTGGCTCTGTCACCAACCCAAAGCTAAACGGTGTGTGTGTGTGTGGTGTATTCCCAGAACTGCAAACATGGACAGAGACCTAGGGTGGGCAGGCAGTTCTTTCCTGAGCCCCAGGGTAGAGGGAGTTTTGTGCAGCCGCAGCTCCAGAATTCCTATAAAAGAAGGGCACAGGAGTGACAATCTCATTGGTAGGGGCTGGAGGACTTGACTTAAAGCTGTATTTGCAGAGCATGCCTGCTGTTCTGACTTAAATTGGACAGTTATTTGGGTGGTTGTGGGGGCTACTGACGGAAATTCTCAGAATGAGGGCCTTGGCTCCACCACGGTGCTGGGAGCTTTTACCCCCAAACACTTCCCAGATCTGGAATCAACTATGGGTACAGAAACCAGGCCCCCACTATATCTGCAGTAGTGAGGAGCAGTATAGGGGTATATTATGGGGGCACAGGCCCCTAGCATTTATGAGGGATGCAATCAGGTGAAAACACTTGGCAAGAGAAGTCTACATAACAAGATCCAAAGGCAATACCCAGGGACAGCAGCCAGACCCAGTGGAGGAGTGTGGGCTGCCTGGAGCAGCTGGGGTGAAGAGAGCTAGGGTGGTGGTAGTGGTAGAGGCATTTCTGCTGATGGTACTGGAATCTGCAAGAAGCCTCTCCACCCCTACTCGGTGCCCTGGTAGAGACAAGCTGCTTCTGGCCCTCCGGGACTGCAGCTCAGACAGCTCAACCCTGGAAGTCCCTCACACGATGCTCTATCTGCTGCTCCAGGTCTTCATTTAGGGGATCAGATGTAACCTTAACTTTGGAGGGACTCAGGGAGTCTTGTTCCATTAAATCCCAGAGAGAAGCCTGGCAAAACTAACAAAAGTACATGAAACCACTCCATGAACAAATGCCTCCTTTGCCATGAGACCAGAGGAACTGGATGGTGCCTGGCCACCATTACTGAACATTTTGATCAAAGATTCTACAGAAGAATCTTGATCAAAAGGGGGAAATTCTCATAGATTCCAGACTTTCTGGAGCCACGGAGTCTGGATGAACCCCTGAAACTATTGCCCTGGCAATCTTCAAACCTTTTACCAAAAACATCCTCAGAGACACATCCAAACTCTCCGAGGGACCAAATTACTGGACTGAGGGCTGTGGGGTTCACGGTCTTGAGGAACACCTAGCTCAACCGGCATAACATAGTTTATAAAGAACATGTTCTACATTCTACTTTGGTGAGTAGCGTCCGGGGTCTTAAAAGCCTGTGAGCTGCCATCTAAGATACTCCACTGGTCTCACCCCATCGGGAGTAAGGGAGAATGAAGAAAACCAAAGACACAAGGGAAAGATTAATCCAAAGGACTAACGGATCACAACTACCATGGCCTCCATCAGATGGAGTCCAGCACAGCTAGATGGTGCCCAACTACCACCATGGGACTGCTCTGACAGAGATCACAATAGAGAGTCCTGGACAGAGCTGGAGAAATATGTAGAACAAAATTCTAACTCACAAAAAAAAAAGAAAGAAAGAAAGAAAAAAACAACCCAGACTTACCGGTCTGACAAAGACTAGAGAAACCCCAAGAGCATGGCCCCCAGATACCCTTTTAACTCAGCACTGAAGTCACTCCTGAGGTTCACCTTCAGCCAAAGATTGGACAGGCCCATAAAACAAAGTGAGACTAATGGGTACACCAGCCCAGGAGCAAGGACGAGAAGACTGGAGGGGACAGGAAAGCTGGTAACGGGGAACCCAAGGTCAAGAAGGGGAGAGTGTTGACATGTCATGGGGTTGGCAACCAGTGTCACAAAACAATACGTGTATTAATTGTTTAATGAGAAACTCATTCGCTCTGTAAACTTTCATCTAATATACAAATTTAAAAGAAAGAAAAAAAATATCCTCAGAAGTATTCTTAAAACTAAACAATAGTTTAGCTTAACTAGTAAAGAAAATCTGCTTTGAGCATTGTGTTCTTTCAAGATCTATCTACAGGGGATCAAATTGACAACAGCAACTCAAAAGATTACATAGGAACCTTCGGGGGCAATGAGTTTATGTTAATGGGGGAGGAACAACTCAGAAAACGAGGGTGAGAATGGTTGCACAACCTGAAGAATGTAATCAATTGTCACTGAATTGTACACGTAGAAACTGTTGAATTGGTGTATGTTTTGCTGTGTATATTCTCAACAACAAAATAAGTAAAAAAATTTTAAAAGTATGTGAAACCTGCTATGTAAAATGTAAAGCATCATCCACAGCTCCATTTGTCCCACGGTCTTGTAGAAATATTATTTATCAAAATAGAACATCAGAGACAATCACAACCATATCCATGTGATCTGTGGTTCTGAGAACACTTGAGACTCCCTTCATTCAAGGGCAGACTTACAGTGTGGAATGAAGAAGGGGCCCAAACAGGTCTGAGATTTCTAGGACATCCCAGGAGGCAAGCTTGCAGCTGTGAGCTACCCCCTCCCCCAATATCTTACAGGTCCATGCATAAGCCCAAAATGGCAGCTGAAGTCTGAGAGTCCCCTCTGAGTTGGGGACCAGGAGGCTGGTGCAGAAACAAGGGGCCGGGGGCTGCTCTGGCACTCCGAGCCATTCCTCCAAAGGATGGGTCCTCAGGGCAGGACCAATCCATCCCCTCCCCCACTCCCTCTCCCCCCAGCTTCATCCTTTCTTTCCGGGTTCCTTCTCTCCCTCACAAGCACCGGAATCTATTTTCCCTGAGCCCAGACTTTTTATTATTTTAGAGGTCAGCTGGAGGCGTTGCAGGCAGCACTCCTCCAAGGGTGGGCACAGACCCTTAGGACCCTCTGGCCCTTCCTCGTTCCTCTGGCCTGAGCCTTTCAGAGGGGCTGGCCAGCCAACCGCTCCTCAGTGTGTGCAGGGGGGTAGGGGAGGGGAGGAAGGTGTCCCACCTCTAAGTCCGCTCCCCAGCCAAGGCGTGTCCTCTGGTGATCCCGCAGCCTTCGGGTGGGGGTGCGGGGCTTGTAAAGATGATGGAATTGGTAATGGGGGTCCTAAGGGGAAATCTGCCGCTGGAGATGGAGCTTCTCCCTCCTTGGCCGACTCTGGCCCAACCTGACCCAACTGCGCTCCAACCACGGCCTCGTATGATCTCTTCAGCCAACTTCCAACCTTCCCACTCGGGAGTAAGGTCCACTGCATCCCCCGACCAGTGGTTACAAACCAGCTGTCTCCGCCCTCAGGACAGAAAAGACCTCAGAGGGGTTCACATCTTTCAGGAAAAGCCAGCCTAGAGTGAAACGGCCAAGGTCACAAAATAAGGCAGAGCCAGGACGGTGACTGAGAGGGTGGGAAGAGGGTCCTCAGCGCCGGGTGCGGGGGGCGCACTCACCGTCGGGACCACTTGGCCGACGGCCTCCCGAAGGGCCGCTTCCACAGCACCCCGTAGAGCTGCACTTTGGTGCTGATGTCCAGCGCGTCCGAGTCGGCCTGTTCCATGGACGGCGAGGGCGACACCGAGTTGGACTTAGACGTGAACATTCTGCCTCCGCGGGGCTGCCCCTGGCCTGGCCTACGCACTCCCCTGGAACTGGCAGTCCCAGAACGGCACGGACAGCAGCCCCCGGCGGGATACGCGGTTCCAGGTGAGGGTGCGGCGTGGAGGCTGCGGGGAGGCCTCGTCCCCGGCGGCTCCGGTCGCCGTCGAGGCGCGGCTCAGCGAGCGGAGACCAGGAGCGGCTCCAGCCCGGAGGCGCGGCATTAAAGCGCGCGAGCACGGAACGCGGCGGGAAGGGGGCGCGGCCAGGGGCCCGGGGCGCGCAGCCTGCGGCTCCCAGCTCCGGAGGGCTGCAGCCCGGCGAGAACTCGTGGGGAGGGCAGCTGGGCTTCGAGCCGGCTGCGCACCCCCGCCCTCCCGCGACAGCCCAATTCTGGTGCCCGCGATTGGCTGGGAGGGGCAGGTGAGCCGGGATGGAGGCCGGACTGGCTCGCCAATCAGAGCGGAGGGCAGGGCCCCTGCGTCCGGAAGGTCCTGGCGGCCGGCGGCGCGCTCACTCCCGGGGTACAACCATGACACTGCCCAGTCCCCGCCCCAGTGCTCTAAGCTCTCCTGTGCCGTGCCTACATCGAAACTGGCACATTTGCTTTGTAATATGCTTTTAGTAACTCCTGCAGATACCTACTTGCCTCTGGGTAGAAAGGAGAGGAAGGAGCAACGGTTTGATGTCAGACAAGTGGGCTTAGAATCCCAACTCAGTCCTTAAAGAGCTCCGTGCAGCTGCGGGGAGCCTTGATTTTCTCGTCTGTAAAATGGAGATGCTTGTACCTCATCCAAGGGTCCCTTGGTGGCCAAAACGGTTTGCACTGCACTATTAACCAAAAGATAGGCAGTTCGAACCTACCCAGTGGTGCCGTGGAAGAAAAGCCTGGAGATCTGCTTCCATAAAGATTACAGCCAAGAAAACCCTATGGAGCTCAGTTCTACTCTGTAACTCAAGGGGTAGCCATGAGTCGGAATGGACTGGATGGGGATAGGTCGGTTTTTTTTTTGTTTTTTTGGTACCTCATCGAGCAGGGCGGTTGCGAAGTAAGAATTAGGTAAGTGCCTGAAGGGCCCGCTCAGAGAGGAGGCTCAATCGCGGTTGGCGGCCGCTGTTCAGGTGGGTTTCACTTTACACCGCCGCCTCTCTCCCAGATTGGATTTCCTTTCCTGTAACCTAGCTGTCTGCATCGGCATTTGGCACTCAGTACCAGCCCCGAACGGTCAGTGTAGTTTGTGTCCGTGATTTATCTTCGCGCCTGGTTCGTGTTCCCTGGGGCCGGGTGCTTCGCCCACCTCCTCCTGCTCCGGGTAGGCGGTTAGTGACCGTCTCACTTTCCTGCCTGGTACAGTCGTCTGCCCATATCCCGGGAAGCTCCTTTCTGTTGGTGGAAATGCTAGGTTAGCACGGCTGCTGCCGGCACAAAGCCCGGAACTGAGTTTGCGCAGTAAGAGGCACAGCCCACTAGCCCACGCTGCAGTCGGTCACCTTCTTCAGAGCCGCAGGCGCACCTCTGGCGGCGACAATTCACCTGTGCCCTTGGGAAGACTACTCTTCTCAGAGTCTGATTCCTCACATCTAAGAGAAGAAAGTTGGATTGGAACAGAAGCTTGCAAATGGGTAGCCCTAAAACCAAATCACTTTACAGATATATTTTATAGCTTGTCTATGTAAAAAAGAGGTAAAATTAATACACAGTAAAATGCTCAGATAAGTGTGCATTGGATGTTTATTGGATGAATATATACTGTGTAACCAATACCCAAAGCAAGATACAGAATATTCCATCACCCCAAAAAGTTCACTCTTGCCCCCTTTTACAAGTTAAATTCTACTAACTCTACCACCACCACTCCCAGGCAACAACTTTGATTTTTATCACTTTTTTTTTTAATTTTGACTTTTAATGCCTAAAGTGGCGTTTTCCACAGAACTCACTATCCCCTATTATCCTTTGCTCAGCCTGCTTCAGCTCATTTATTACCTGCCTGTCTCCTCCCTATAGTCATTTGTGTTTGTGGCCCTGACTGGATGCTCCTCAAAGCTTTCCCAGTTCTAACATTTTATGATTCTAGTTAAGGCACCTTCTGAGGGACTCCCATATCCTCCACTGGCACCCTTCCCCTAACCAGCTCTGGATACCTTCACCTTATCACTCACTCTCTGGATGGCCCATGTTAATGCTCTGTGCCTCTCTTACGGCTCATGTGCCTGCAGAACAACTCAGGCCAAGCCTTAACACGGGGCCCACGGGCCATCTTTGTCCAGGGCCTGGTTCCACCAGCTGGGAGGAGACAGGGCTGGGGAGATGACAAGAGCCCCTACGGAGTGCAAAATGGACATTTCTTGTGTCCTTGCTATTTCTGGACACACATTCTAGTGCTTGGAAAATTTCCCACTTTAAGTCCTGCTTTTCCAAAATAGAAGCTAGAAAACTTACTTTAGAGCTAGAACACAGGCCTATGGTGTGGAGTTCATGTCAGGGGCACTGGGACAGGACTCTGAATTGCAAGTGGCCAACGTGAGGAAAAAGCATGCGCAAGCGTCCTTTCCGGGGAAGGTGGTGGCAAAGGCATCTGGCTTGCTTTGGGATTGGCTGTGGCTGCAGGTTGACCTCCTGGGGCAGCAGCGTAGGTGTTCTGCGGCGGCAGCAGCAGCGTCCTCATCAGGTTGCTTCTGCAGCATGGTTTGGGGTATCACTGCTGGAAGCTTTGCCTCAGGCCTGGTTCTCTAGCCCTCCCAATACTCTTTTAATAAATTAATTCTTTTTTGCTTAATCAGGTCAGCATCAGTTTGGCTCCTCGCAGTAAAGGACTAGTGTTGAGCTCAAGCCTGGGAGGGAGAAAGGCAGGAATCATTCCTAAGGAAGTCTTTCCCAAGAAGAACGGCTGAGTGAGCCCAGATGGTTCCTGGTAACGCCTCAGTTTCAAGTCTGTCCAAAGCCCAAGTTTCTTCCCTGCTTCTCTGCCTCTGGAAGACCCTAATGGAAAAGAGAAAAGCGATCTTTGCTCCTTCCCTCTGCATACAGGTGGTAGACCTTAGCTAACAGAGTGGTTAACTAGGTGGAAAGACTACCCTGAGGCAAATACCATGAGTATGATTGACCACTAGGTACTTTAGAGTCCCTGGGATGGTGCAAACAGTTAACAAGCTTGGCTGCTAACAGAAAGGTTGGAAGTTTGAGTCCACCCAGAGGTGCCTCTGAAGGCCTGGTGATCTACTTCTGGAAAATGAGCTATTGAAAACTCTGTGGAGCACAGTTCTACTCTGACACACACGGGGTCACCGTGAGTCAGAATCAACTTGATGGCAACTGGTAGTAGATACTTTAGGGGTGTCCTCTCCCCTTGACTAACGAGCCCAGATCATGCCAAGTCATCCTTGGGAGAAGCTGTTTCTGTTTCCATTGTGTTCTCTGCCCTAGCTGGTGGGAGTGCTGAATATGAAGACAAAACAAGTTGGGTGCCAATCCAGTTCCCCAGACTATGTGTGGGTCTGGGCTGCCCAATCTTATCAGGAAGGGAGACAAGATAGGGGTGGAAAACGCAAGGTTTCAGAGTGCCCTACTCTGCTCAGATACAGAGTGATGCTCTGAATATGTTATTTACATCTTAGTCCATCCCATTTGATTTTTAAAACATCCCTATGAGGCATGCCTGGGAGCAGGATTCCAGCAGGCTCCTGCCGAGGAGGCACAGCCTGAAGCCCCACCAGCAGTTCCCCATTCGAACTCTCTCCAGACTAGACTAGACAGGCTCTCTTCTCACCAGCAAGCTCGGGCTCCTGCTAGGCTTCCGCATTCTTGCTGTCCAACAGTTGCTCACCCCAGGTTGCCAATGTCCAAGTATTTCTGGGAGTGATCTGAGGACCTTGCTGCCCTGCCAGCCTGCCAGCTGCTTCCCAGCAGTAACACAGGCTCCTGACATCCAAGGGCACCGCTGTAGGAAGCACACTGTTCAGAAACACTGAAGGTATTCAGTGCTCCCTCTTGTGGGTGATGTGTGGATTAAAACATACACATTAATTTGGCCTCTAAGAACTAGTATTTTATCGGCAGAGTGGGCCATAGCCATTTATTGTTACAATCTCACATACGCTCCCAGAATGTCTGAGGGACAGCCAGGGTGCTGCTCCCTTATTTAAAAAAGAATTAGCAATTTATTGGATGAGGTATCAGAGGCTGGGGCACAGTGTTAGCTTCATCTTTACTCAGTGGAAAGATCTTGGGCAAGTTACTTTGAAACCTTACTAGTATCCTATCAAAAAGCAGTCCTTCCCAGAACTAGAAGGTGCCCGGCCACCACCGATGACCACGCTGACAAGAACACAACAGAGAGTCCCTGATGGAACAGGAGAAAGGTGGGGTGCAGAACTCAAATTCTAGTAAGATCAGACTTAATGGTCTGAGACTGGAGGAACCCCAGAAGGCATGGCCCCCTGGATTCTCTATCAGCCCAGAACTAAAACAATTCCCGAGGCCAACTCTTCAGACAAGGATTGGACTGGACTGTGGGACATAAAGTGATATTCGTGAGGAGTGTGCCTCTTAGCTCAAGTAGATACAAGAGACTAAAC